CTTTCAGAGATTCGATTTGCTGAAGCTTGAATGTCCTGGATGAAGTATAGTTACAGCAAAGTTCTCTTGGACTCTAAAGGTTGCTGTATATCATGTCATCTAAGTAATAACTACGGTTGGGTGGCCGTATCCAATATCAGGCCCTACTCCGGAGTTTTTTACTGCAGTAGACCTTCCTCCGGAGCTTTTTTTGTAGCAAACCCTCTACCAGAAATCTTTCTGCAGCAGACCCTTCGGAGCCTTTTCCTGCATTAAGCCCTCCTTCGGATCTTTTTCCTGCATCAGACCCTCCTCCAGAATCTTTCTTGTAGCAGACCCTCCTCCAAAGCTTTTCCTGCAACAGATCCTCCACCAGTTTTTCCTACAATAAGCCCTCCAGAGTTTTTTTCAGTATCAAACCCTCCTTCGGAGCTTTTCTTGCAACAAGGCCTGCCCCTGGAGCTAGGGGTGTAAACGAACCGAGCATGAGCGAGCCCGAGCTTAGCTCGTGTTCGGCTCGTTTATATTTCAAGCTCAAAAAGAGTTTTCGTGTTCTGCTTGTTTGCTTAGAGAGCGGAACACGAGCTATTCACGAACGAAGAGTTGTTTTGACAACCCTAATCGCGTAACCACAAGATGTTAAGAGTTGGGGCAAGATTTAAAAATTATTATTTATATTAAAATGTCATTTGAAGCTAATTTAATAATTTTTATTCTATTTTCTTAATTAATACTTTTAATTGATTATAAATCTTTGTAGCCTTGTGGTCAATTAAATTTTTTAAGAATATTACTCATCAATATATGTGTGTGTGTGTGTGTGTGTGTATATATATATATAATTGGTGAGTTGTATTTTGAATCAAGACGAGCCGAGCACGAATGAACAAATCCCTGTTCGTGCTCGTCTCATTTATGTTTTAAGCGCAAAAAAAATATTCGTCTTCGGCTCCTTAACTAAGTGAACAAATCCAACACGAGCTTCTTAACGAGCCGAACACAAACTATTCACGAACAACAAATCATTTTGACAACCCTGAAGTCAACGAAGATAATAACAATATCAACACTGTTATTAGTGAAGTGATTTCTTGCCATGATCTCAATTGCATGACAAATAGATTGTGATTTCAGATTCGGCTAATTGACGTTGGATTATGACTCGTATGACATTGATGTAAATAAATGATGGCGATAGGAACGACAACAACAACCAATGAGAGTAGAATTAGTCCCCCGTGATATGTGTAATTGTGGTTCAATGATAGTGAGATGGCCATTCATGCAATTGTTGTGGTCTATTCCACATTCGCTTTGTATGGACAAATTTGAAATACATTAAAAGAAAACTTCTAATAAATTATTTTGCATTTGTGTTTCTTCCCATCAATTTGGGGCGGAGCAAAAAAATAGTAAAAAAAAAAAAGGCTTAAATCAAACATTTAGGGCAGCTTATTTGGTGCGGTGGCGTTTTGAAAACGCACCTGGTCTGTTTGGGTAAACCGCGTTTTGACAGCTTATGCGTTTTCAAAAAGTAAAAAACAGCATTTTCACACCGCTAAAAACAGCGTTTTCACACCGCACCTATCTAGATGTGGTGGGAGCTTATTGTCAGCGGTCTGACTTTTCCAAAAAAATAAAAATTTATAATAGCCACCGCACCTAACTTATCAGCAAATTATTTTTAATCAATATCTGCCTACATGCCACCCATGTTTTATATATTTACATATCTAACATCTGAACTTTAGTATTTACATGTATACCTCTCAAATATTTCATATTACATAAATAATTTCATTCATAGATGAGAAGGCATATGTGTAGCTATTATAATGTATGTGTTATATATTTATATGTAATTAGATGAGAATTGTGTTTTTTTTATGTAAATCTTCCTTGAAAAAAAAGCTTGAATTGAAAATTGAAATGATAGAGACATAACGTATACAACAGATTAAACTCATAATGTCGACTCTTTATATTCTCAAAGCATTTAATGTTAACATTAATTGATTGGCACTCAATTTGAGAAAAAAAAAATTATTAGGTTGTTTATTTTTCATAAAAATTAAAATAATACATTATATTAATATTATTTTAGCAAAACTCTTTTTTTTAAAATATATGATAAAATTATAATTCATGGTATTATTTATTGGATCACATTCAGTTTTGATCATCTAAACCGTAACTTTCAAAACGGAGAAAAAATCATATTATGTGTGTTTAGTGTGAGTCCGAAACCTTAAAATACCCAAATAAAATAAAAAAAACTGTGATTTTAACAGCGCAATTTGAGTCTAAAACGATGACATAACTCGAAGTTAATATTACGGAGTGTTTTTCATTTGCCTCTTGTTTTAGGGCTAGAAAAATTAAAAATTTTTATGATAAAGGGTAAAAGAAAGAGTAGTCGGATAAAAGATAAAACTTCATTCAAAATTTCAAAGAAGGGAAAGACAAAGTTTAAGAAAGCCTGCTGATAGATACTCAACAACATGTCATCGATATTATAGATCTCTATTTTTTTGATAATTTCTAACGTAATGCATAATCAATATTCAAAATGTCCGAATTCATTTATATAGTTTCTGATTTGAAGCTGAATAAGTTTTGATGGTGTTGTTATGTTTTTGCAAGAAAAAAAAATTAATTTTATGATGATTTACGATAATATATTGGGAGTATGTTTTTGTTTTGTTTAGAGTTAGCTTTGTTTAGAAGATTTTTGAGTTTCATCAATTCATGTTTTATGGAGTAGATGTGTATTATCTCACATCTAAAAAAAACACCTTTAATTAATAACCTTTGAAAGCTGAAATCATTGTTTTATGCTATTTTAGATAACATTTCTTTAGAAATATTAAGACTTTATTGCATTTTTTTTTGTACTTAAATAGATGTGTATTATCTATGCTTTGAAGAAGTATTATATTTACTTGAACCAAAAATTGAAATTATTGTATTATTATATTCCAAGTTAGCATTATTTTGAATAAATTAGATTTTAGACAATTCTTGTTCAATAAAATATGTGTATTATATCACTTATGAAAAAAAAAAATTATAATTAACTATCCTTAAAAGTTAAAATCATTGTTTATGTTGTTTAAATTACATTTATTTAGAGATATTTTGATATTATTATATTTTTTTTCACTTAAATAGATGTGTACTAATATGAATAAAATTTCATATTTACATGACTGAATGCTCAGATAATTATTTTATTATATGTTACATTAGTTTTGTTTAGAAAGTTTTTATTTAAGATAATTCTTGTTCAATAAAGTAGATGTATATTGTCTCAGTTTTCAAGAAAAGCCTACAATTAGCTTTCATTTAAACTCTAAAATCCGTGTTTTATGCTGTGTAATCCCTAAACTCTGGAAAAAAAAAATACTACATTTACTTAAACTAAATGATGAAATAATTCTTTTATTATGTTTCAAAAAGCTTTGTTAAGAAAAATTTGGATTTTATTTTATTTATCATTGTATATCATAATGGTAAAATGTGCATGTTTTTCAAAATGATACAATCCCAAAGCATTACAAACAAATTGCAAGCAAATTATTTGCTATCATTGTTCACAATTAAAATAATGCATATGATTTGTATTGTAGTTATGCATACCAGACTCGATTTAATGTGAAGATGGACTATATCAAGTATTGACCACACTTAAAAAAAATATAAAATCAAATGATTTTGTGTGTGCGAGATTTCAACATTCATCCGAAACGATAAGTAGGTATTTCTCCATTGATTTGCTTGCCTTGATAAGTGTGTTATGAAGTTATCAAGCCTGAAGATCCAACTTTCTGAAATATTCCTAGAGAAATATCATGAGAACATCGATATATGTCATAATTTTAGATGTATTGAAATCATTTTTACTTTATTCAAAGATAAAACCAACTTTAAAATTTAAACTTATTACAATTTGATATAAGATTATATTTGTCTTATTGATGAGACACATGCTCATATACGTCTGTGTCGATATTGATAAGGTCGCATACATTGGACGTTATGGTTAATTTACACAGAACGTAATGATAGCATACAATATTAATATGTGTTTTACTTTCGTTATGACTAGTTAGGAAAACAATGTTTATGATAGTCGAATCTTCAAGTTTGCTATGCATAACTTTCACTTGCCGCCTCAAGGTTAGATAACACTTCCTTAAACCTTATATTAACTTTTCATATAGTAACTCATGGTTGACTCTTATAACAAGAAATCACTATTTAGTGGATGTCATATATCCGATTATACACAAATTTCTAAAACCATCTTTGAACGTGAGCTATCACATTTTTTAATAAATTTCTATAATCATATAATTAATACTTAATCTAATAAATTTATAATTTTTTAAAGTTAGGCCCACTGTCATACACCTTTAACATGAAGATGTTTTTAATCGTGCGATCGTACGGAAAAATTTTTCATCCCAAACATACTCAAATGTAAAAATATTTTGCAAGTTCTTTATATCCTAGTTCTTAATTTTTTTGAAGATTAAAATCGGAATATATATATATATA